ATGTGTGTCGCAGTGAGGAACATACTCACCTGTCCCTCAAACAGGTACCTGTGTCGCAGTGAGGAACACACTCACCTGTCCGTCAAACAGGTACCTGTGTCGCAGTGAGGAACACACTGACCTGTCCCTCAAACAGGTATGTGTGACTCAGTTAGGAACACACTTCTACCTGTCCCTCAAACAGCGCCGTTCAATACAGTCGACTTGGCCATGTCGCTGCTTGCTGGGATCTTGCTGTGTGTACCCGATTGCCCATCACACACCCAACAGCAGTCACATTTCAAACAAGTGCCGTATCGGATGTAGAGCTGAGAAGGATTAGGGCGGCACAGTGGCTCAGTGGTTAGCACTGCTGCCTCATGGCACCAGGGACCCGGGTTCGATCCCACCCTCAGGCGACCCTCCAAATGAGGCTTCTCCCCGTGCGGGTTTCCTCCCACCGTCCAAAGATGTGCAGGTTAGTGTGGATTGGCCGTGCTATAGTGCCCAGGGATGTGCGGGTTAGGGTGGATTTGCCGTGCTAAATTGCCCCATAGTGCCCAGGGATGTGTGGGTTGGCTGTGGGAAATGGAAGGATAGGGTAGGGGAGTGGGTCTGTATGGGATGTTCTTTGGAGGGTCAGTGCAGACTCAATGGGCCAAATGGCCTCTTTCTGCACTGTTGATGTTCTACAACAGGAGATTTTAATTGAGCTACGTAAGTTCTAAAGGGAAATAACAAAGTAGACATGGAGAGGATGTTTCCCTGGTGGCAGGGTGGGGGGGCAGCAATCTAGACCAAGAGGTTGCAGTTTTAGGATGGGGAGGGGATAGACTTAAAATGGAGACGGGGTAGGAATTCCTGCTGTTAAAGGGCCGTGAACCTGTGGAATTCACTCGCCCAGAGTGTGGTGGATGCTGGAACACTGAGGAAATTTTAAGGAGGAGGCTGAGTTTTAATGAGCAAGTGGGCTGAAGGGTTGGTGGGGGGAGTGGGCAGGAAAACGGAGGTGAGGCTGAGATGAGATCAGTCACGATTGTATTAAATGTCTGAGCAGATGCACAGAGTGTGGGGCTGAATGGCCTCCTCTTAGGTTCTTATCTTGAAGCACTTTGTGTCGAACTGAGGCCAAGGAAGATGTGACAGTAGTGCAAACTTCTTCCCATCAATAGTGGAGAAGTTCAGCCAATTTGACATGATAATCTCTCTTCATTAAAGTGGACATAAATAGCATGAGTCTAACGAGGGAAATAGCTGTGTAAGCAGTTAGCGTTTTAGCCTTCAGCTAAGTATGTTATGGTAACAGTCTGCCCACCAATTGTGGGTTCCTCTGTCTACAGTTTTATCTTGATGGCCTCCAACTCCAATCAGTGCTTTTGGTCTCAGAGCAGGGAGAGACTCCAGTTATTGTTACTTTCAGTGTGATGTTTTGGCGAAACATAGCCAGTATCTCCCTGGTGTCTCGAAGGGAGTTCTGCACGGGACTCCTGTCTCGACTTGCGATGAGCAAAGTCCACCCCCGTCTGTCCTACCCCTTCGAGGGGCGACACCGGGAGCGACCCATTCCCACAGCAAAGTGGTGAGGATTTGGGAACACACCGACTGACGGTATCCGGTGAGCGGGGTGTGGGCCGAGCTTCCGTCGAAGCGTTCGAAATGGGAATTATCGGAATGGGAATGGTTCGCGAGGAACTGGGGTCACTGTGAGACTAGCTCAGTTGCTCAGGCAGAGATGGCTTCCTCCCCCTCTATAAACGTCCTGCAATCCATAACGTTACAGGAAATAGACCATTTGGCCCCTCGAACCTGCTCTGCTATCTAATGGCTGGTCCGACATTCGTCCTGTCCAATTTCCTTTCCCCATAACCCTCGATTTTCCCGACTGATCGAGAATCTGTCAGCCTTCAATATACACAGGGACTCTGCCCCCAGTGGCTCTCTGTGGCAGGGAATTCCAAAGACTCACAACCCTCTGAGGGAAGAAATTCCTCCTCATCTCAGTCTTAAATTGGCGCCCCTTTATTCTGAGACTGTGCCCTCTGGTCCCAGACTCTCCCATGAGGGGGGAAACATCCTCTCAGCATTGACCCTGTCAATCCCTTAAGAATCCCATATGTTTTAGTGAGATCCCCTCTCATTCTTCGAAACTCCACTGAGTCCCAACCTGTTTAGCCTTTGCTCGTAAGACACTTCACTCCATCTCGGGGATCATCCTATTGAACCTTCTCTGAACTGCCTCCAATGACATGATATCTTTATTAAATAAGGTAAACCAAAACTGCTCACACTAACTCCAGATGTGGTCTCCCTCGCCGTAAGACTTTCCCAACTCTTATACTACAACCCCCTTAAATAAGGGCCAACATTCCATGATCCTTCCTGATTCCCTGCTGCCCCCACTGTGTTCTAGGCTTTCTGTGTTTCGTGCACAGGTCCCACCAAGTCTCTTTGTGTTGGAGCTTTCTGCAATTTCTTTCCCCCCCCTACATGAAATAATATTCCAAAATGGGCGACTTTGCGTTTTCCCACATGGGTCTCCATTTTCCCACTTGTGGCACACTTAATGGATCCTGTCAGTAGCTCTCTCCTTCTTGCAACTGGCCTTTCTGCCTGTTATAGCGTTGCCTGCAAATCTGGGCACAGTAGATCCCTTTTGTTGTCTAAGAGCGGGATATTTGAGGGGAAAGGAAGAGTAGGAGAGGCTCGGGGAGGGAATTCCGAAGTTCAGGGCCTAGCCAGCTGAAGCACGGCCTCCAATGGTGGAGCGATGGCAACGATGCCTAGTCAAAACTGGGATGAGCCTGGAGGATAACAAGGTGTAGAGCTGGATGAACACAGCAGGCCAAGCAGCATCAGAGGAGCAGGAAGGCTGACGTTTCGGGCCTAGACCCTTCTTCAGAATTA